AAAAAAAAAAAAAAAAAAAAAAATTAACAATCAACGGTTATCAACCATCGCTATCGTTGCATTATATTACTGGTGATGAAATGCAAGCTGTAACAAAGAAAAAAAATGCCCGTTAAAGGTTATATTACCCATAAACTACACGAAAAATGTAAACACGCATCCGATTAGCCCCTATCAAGGATTTCTTCAAGAGAGACGATTTGCTTTCACATGGACACTATCTAATCGTCAGATTAAATGTAGACCAAGAAAACGTCCAACGTCCGGATGCTACACCCCCCTTCTTTCCAGCTCACATTATCTCTCCGTCTTTTTATTAACAGAGCGTTTCTTATACAGAGAAGTGTGTTGAAATAACCTATCACTCCATCGCAGTATCAAGTCAATGCATACACTACAGAAGTGTTCAAAAATTTTGCGTAATTCTTGGCGATCCATGCCGACCTATACAGGTGATGTTTGAACTGCTTGATACCCCGGCCTCTGCTCGGAAATATAGTCCCTCGCGTGCCGTAGATCAAACTCGGGCGCTTTGATGATTTTTCCAAACTGGGCCTAGCCTGACTGACGTCACAAGACGACAAAATATTGAACGAACGACTGAGGGTCTTAAAATCGGCTGGTGTGAACGTGACTTGAATATACCGTAGTACTACAATTTCCTATCAATCAAAAACCTAGAAATCAGCCACTTAAATACATTCCATACAGTGCGTTCTTCGCAATCGTGATGCATATGAATGCATAGTATAATAAGTTCAATATTCGGTGCGCGTATGTGAGCCTTAAGTATTTACTACGTTATACAACCACGTCAATCATGCACACCATTACCAGAATGAATTAAAGCTGAGAATAGCAATTTCAGTTTTAGTTTCCCGTATAATCCTATCACAACACTCTTTGATCTGTTATCTGAAAAGTGCACACACGGAAATACATTTCTAATGTAATTATGAAGCATATAAATGCAGTACACATTAGTTACCACATCAGTTACAGGTTTTAAATGTCTGAAACAGTTCAAAGATACGCCGTTTTCGTGCACCTGTATATTACACATTTTGTCGCAATACAACTAATCTATACCAAAGCACGTAGAAAAAAATAAATTCAAAACAAGGAACAAACAAGCGAAAAAAGAAAGAAAGAAAGACAAAAAAGGAAAAGGAAGAAATAAAAAAAGGTAAGGGATCGAGAAGGAGAACTTCAAAGCATCTAATTTGGTTAATGTAAACAACACTCTTCTGTCAGTTTTCAGCTTCTTTTCTATCGATTCAACAGATCTAATCCCAAAATAAAAGGTACAACACAGCGCCGAGACTCAGGTGTAGTGTGGTTTATAAGAACACCCAACCATCATCTTTACAACATAGCTGCCCTACCTTTGTGAATTCCGCAAACAGGAACCCTAAATGCATCGCACTCCACGCAATCATTGGCAGCAACGCCGCCATCTTGAATTCTCGGAGCAAAAGAATAGTGGACAATATGGAAAGTCTTAATTGGGACACCTGTGTTACTTTAGCTGGTGGAGGCTTTTCATGGGTCGAATCTTTGTGGACATCGACTTCTTTGATTAGAAACAGAGCACCAATAGCGCCAGTAACTGACAGGGCTACATACACGCCAACAAGTAGCAAGACTAACTCTTTGTCAGGTTTTGGGGACCGAGTGCTAGCGTGGGAATGAAGACTCCGTAAGATGCTTGGGTCGCTGTATAAACTACAAACAGTTACATTGATGGTAGATGTTGTATCCTGAGTACGCTGCATTTCGGAAACATTGAACAGAAATGTGTCATTTTTGGTGTCTAGCGATTGGTTTTGGCCGGTATGGTCAGACTGTTTTAGCACTAGCCACGAAATGAGATTCCCAAATATGTTAGTGGTTTTAAAGAATGACGCGAACGTCCCATTAAATCCACTTATTAGGATGTCTTCCTCCCTTCCAGACGCTCGTGCGGCTTTTATGGCCAGGGTGGTCACAAAACAGCTAGCAGCAGTCATTAACACGTTGCCTAGCAACCCGAAAACGAAGACAGTAGGAACGAGGGTATACATCCGAGGATAGAAATTGGCACAAAAGAAGCCAATCGCTGAGCAGATGCCTGCAATGATGGCTTTCTTGCAACCGATTTTTTCGACCAGGACTGGGGCGAATAAAGCGCCCAGGGCACTGACGCTGTAACCTACAGTCAGAACAGTAAGTCCCAGTCCATGCTCGCTGTATAAACTGCTCTGGAGGGTCTGCAGCCCGTTCCACGCCGTGAATACGAACACGAACACCGTGGAAAACCCTACGAGCCTGAGATACGCAAAGCGAACAACACGGCGGCTGCATGTCTGTGGGTTGCTGTGCATTGAACATGGATTCTTGGTATACATCTCACCTTCCATCTGAGGCCGCTGTTCATTCACATTGGTGCGAGTAGCCATGATCAATGTAATTTATTGCACATATGACCCAATTGCAGCTTAGAGCTTTAGAGGCCTTCCATAAATAGCTAGCGTCCTTATTTCCGTGTTTGGGGATCAATGGCAGCTAGTCGTCGGGGTCAGGGCAGAGTACTGCAAAAATAACTTGAAATTGCAGTCACGTACAGATAATGACAGCTAGGACGTCTCAAAATTTCCCCACACCTTTACTTGCCCGTCTCCACGATTGGTAAACTGGCTGACAATTGGGCAAGCTGCCTTTGGTCGCTTGGGTTTCACAATATCGCCTGGCTAAATAAATCGGCCACACCCAATCCCGGTGTTCATTAGTCCTGATCTGACACCAGCATCGGATTAAAATTACAGCAGAAATTATGTCTCGATCTGCATGTACGCCAGCATATATCCCGCAAAGAACCGTACGTATGTTGCTTCCAGTCTGCCCAGTCCAACTGTGTCTGCACGTATGCGCTGCAAAATGTTTATAAATTATAGGCTATTCTACTTGGAAACATTTGTCTGTGTTTTGTTATTTTCATACTCTGTCATATGCATCTTGTATTAGGCATCAGCAAGTAATGCAACTGTGATACCACACATCACAACCATACAATAGTCCCACATGCACAGGCCAAGATGCACATGTATATTGTCGCTGGCAGCCCAAACAGATGCATATGGCTACCGTTCAATAGTTACGTTTGCGGTAAAAAGCATATATATATTTACTCATTGAAGTGCACTAGAACAGAAAGGGTTATAAAAACAAAGCTACATGTTTTTATCAGCACTGTGGAGTGAATTAAAAAGGAGGTGGGGGGTGGGGGGGGGGATTGGGGTTAAAACGCTACATTCACCCCTCTTCTCAACTTCAGTAATATGCAAATATAGGTTGTTCGTAGACACTTACATGCATATGCTCGACTGCATGAATGTACTTGTACTAAGCTTGTAACATAGACCGCATATCTGATATATGCATGTCATTGAGTATAAAAACACATGCTAACCCGCACAGCTTCGATCTTTTCTATGTTTACCCTTTTATTTAAGTCGGCCTAAAATGCCATCAACCACAAACCACATGGAAACTCTATCATTTATATATTTTAATTAACGTACCCTAGTACAATTACCCGTTACTATGTGCAATGATCCCTTGGTGAATGGTTTAATTGTATGTATGTCAGAACGTTATCGTTTTAAAAATATCCCTTGTGGGGAAATGAAAATATTTACATGTTTGATATATCTTGAGCGTGTAATTTTTGAATGATTCATGTGCTACTGTGTACCTTCAACAAATAGCATCACGTAAGCTTGCAAGTGGAGCACAGTTATTTTTAAATATAGGTCGAATTTTAAAAAAATAAAGTGCCTATTTAGGTCGACGCGGTTAGCGAAGCAGAGAGACTAGCAAGAAAACGGCGAGGTTGGATATGTAGGGTAACATAGTGAGAACGAGCTATTACCTGCACTATCCGGACCTTGTTTCTTATTTCGACTTCTGCATTCACTGATAAGCCGACCGCTTACAAGGTTTCGGCACGAGAAAAATATAAAAAAGTCGATCATATTGTATTAGGCATCTTGTAGCTGTGCTATGTTGCGTTAGTCATTCTCAGTGGGGCACCACTTCTTGTGAGCTAGCTAAGCTCAGCTTGTAAATCTTAAAGTATACAGGTATGCTTGAAGGCACGGAATGGCAGAGCGGCCTTTGTCTTTAAGGTTAAAGCAATACCAGAGGAGCAGTGACCTTTTAGCGTTAATGCTATGAAGATTTTTCCAGCCTTTCAGGTTCGGTTTTATTTAAAGTGGGTCGCATGTGAATGAGTGTGGATGCGGTAGTTGTGACAAATGAGTTGGATCAAATTTGTTTCTTCTCACTTGAAAAACGGAAGAACTCTGTACTCAGTGCAGGTCAAATGTTAGGGGAGAACACAAGAAAAAGGGATAGATTTAAGAAAAGAGATAAGGAAAAAACTCCGAGCGTTTTTGTGTATTTAAGCCTATATCCAAAATCTCTATGTCTTTGTATGCACAATATATCTGTCTCATTTTTGTACTATTTGAAATGTCGTTATACGTGTCCACGTATATCAGTGTATATGCCAATTAATTTCTGATGAAATAAAAACTTATATAATTAAATATAAAAATCAAAATTATTAAGGCCAAATACATGCATTCGAGGCGCTGGGTCATTTAGCGGTGGCAGCTAACGTTATGTATACTATACACGTTTGAACATATCCCATAGTAATATGTTTTATCAATATCCCGCAGTTCAGGCCACGAAAACAATAAACTCCTTCAAATAAGCGTATCTGATGTCGGTATTTTTCTGAAATGTAAATGCAGATAATTTTTCAAATTAAAATCTCGGCACGCGATGTAAGGAAAATCAACCTGACTACTCAGAACATCAAGGTGCTTTTTCACCTGCATTTTCAGGAGTACTGCTCAATGTACAAACAGAAAATTAAAAATTAGTATCTACAAACATATTCCCATAGTATCAATTTTACTGCTTTTAAAGGATAAATAATGTTATGAGTGACACACGGTGATTCATAGAAAATATGTACTAGTCTTAATTTCCAGGAACCTTCTTGGAACTGAAGTGTAGTGGCTAAATAAAAAATTAACAACGAGGCATTTCTCTTTATCGTTCATTTTATTGTATTTACAAGGAGAATAACATTCCGTACATTACAGGTGTGAAAAGAAAAAAATTGAAATGAATTTTGAAATTTTGATCTTTGAAATTAATTTTTATCAAAATTTCTGCACCGAGTGAGTTGCCTTCCCTGCATCATATGTATGTCCAGTCAGTGTCATATTATCGGAGGAAAAACAGCTTTACTTTTATCCCACCCCCTCTCCAATACAGTGACAATTCAATTATCATAAAAATTACCAAAAATTCTTCAATACCAACACATTAACCCATGTTTTGTCTGAATACAGAAACAATGTAAACGTTGAAAGAACAATGGCATTTATATATAGTTTTTGTAAAGAAATTGATGGAAACATTAAAACTATGCTTATCAATGCCTATCGGAAATTATAAAATATTACCTGGTGTCATAAATTACGGAGGAAATGCCTCATTATCTCCCATAGCTCTTGATAAGGCGGATATTATTTATGTTTTACACTGATCTAAACATACATTTGTCATCAGCATAATTTCCCACAAAACAATGCTGTTATCATTTTATATATCAAGCAATAATAGTCATATATAAAAAAATTGATATCACAAGCGTGCAAAAAGCACTGTTTATCACAAAATGGGAATCGATTTTTTGGTTTTGGTTTTTTAACACTTTAAGCAGTAAGGTATAAAAAGTATCAAAATATTGTTCCCAGGTTATATTTAACGTTGGCGTTGAACGTCTGTGGCGCCACCTATATTTCGGATTGAGGAAAACCTCCATATTCGTCCTAAAGCGTTTTATATGCTTAATGTTAAGACATGCTTCACATCATGCAGTTGCCAAACCTATGGGTGACGTAAGTGCAGAAGCTCTTTGGTGTATAAAAAAGGACAAACTTCAAATATAAAATAAGGTTCTGGCGGACCCTAGGGAGTAAGTACAGAGGTAGAGTAACATTGGTTTTATAAGCCTCACCCCGTTATTATAGTATGTGGGGAAAATAACTTCTGGAAAGCTCTCCATTTATCCTCTCAGGAGCCGCCTTTCCAAAGGCACTTAAAAACATCAGAAAAATTGAAAACCACTTTGCTATAAAGTAACAGCACTATGTATATTTTAATGCTGAATTCAATTTACCCTTAATACTTTCCACTGACCTCTTTTTTAATTATTATGCTTACAATTAACCATTTTCGTTTGAGCACATTAACTATCTCATAAAAAAAATCAAGATAAAAAGGACAATGTATAACCTTTTGACAATATTTACCCCATCATAACTTAGTTTTCAACACGAAGAGAAAACATCGGGAAGCACATTACAGGAGACATGATTACAAAAACTAGCAAAATTGTTAAGATCCATATAACCTCACGACAACGTCACCTAACTGTTTTTCTTGTGTGATCTATAAATATTTTCACATATGGCACAAAGACTCCCTTAGCTCATACATTGGTTCCGTGCTGGAGAATTCTGCATCCATTAATTGTCAGACACATTGCCTTTATTTTGAAAAGTTATCCTGGTTTTATAATGAGCACAGTCTGTGCATTGTTCTTAAGCTGTCGTAAATACCTCGTGAGCAATTAAATTTACTTGCGGCAAGTTCATTTCTTTATCATATTCTCTCCACATTACTTCGCAGCAATCGGGGTTTTGTTTGGCCTCGTTTGAGATTTACTCAACTGTTCCTGCTGCTGCCTCAGTGTCTCTTGCTGTTCCTTTTTTAATTTTTGTTGAATTAGAAAAGCCTCTGCCTTGCACAATTTGACGGGTGGTCGCTTATAAGTGTCTGCATTGACGGTAGTAAAGTCTAGCTTACCGTCCTTATTTAGAGTATGCTCTTCGGGAATATATGGCTTTACGGGGTCAAACTCTTTTGGAATGTAAGTAGCCTGGGTCGTAGACTTAGTGTCGAACTTCTCAATGGGAGGGAAATATTTCTGAGCCTCGTGGAAGTCTCCGTATCGCTTTCTGGGCTGCACGTTCCAGTTCTTGTAGAATTCCTTGAAGCTTGTGCGGCCGTCAAACTTCGGCTTGTTTTCGTCCAACTTCGTAATTGGCGCCAAAGCCCGTGGCACGTGTGCAGCGGCTAGTTCCTTCTCGGTGAAGTCGGCCTGAAAATATAATGTTTATGATGTACCATTTCTGTTTGCATTGCCCTTTTTGGTTTATTTATGTCACTGACCTTTAAAAATTCCAAAATAAAAAATGAAACTATTTTCTTGTTTGTGCAACATTGTGCAAATTGTGCAACATCATTGCAATGTACTATACATGGTTATATCAATTAAAATTATGAATTCAAAAATCCAAAACCTTGAAAATCATTGATGATATCAGAAACTAAACAAAGCTAAATAAAAAAAGAAAATAGTATTTTTTCCAGACATGCATTATATCAGATCTATAGTCCCATTACTGAGAAAAAACACGCCTTGAACGGCCCTTAAAAGTTCTCTACCATCATAAAACTTCCTCAAAATACATACCATGGTGACAGTGAGGCCATCAAACTTGCCGTCCTTAGGTCTGTATGTCTGATCCTCCTTGACGAACGGTTCTGGCATCGGGTTCAGCTTGGGGTCGTGGCCTGGGAAATTGGCCCTCTGCTCTGTCACGAACATTTGCCTGTGAGACAGGAATTCAGATATTTAAGATTACAGTGGTGGACCGCAGCTTGAATATATATAGTGTAAATTTACAAATTAGCATGAACTGGAATAAATTAAGTCGTGGACTGAGTGTATGGTAGTTAAAATGAGCGTTTGTAATTGCTTTGTTTTCTCTTCCTTTCCTTTTTGAAAAGTTGCTTAATGAAATTCGCCACGCTCTCTGTTTATCATGTTCTAAAAATATTCTTAAAGCATCATAGAAAAAAATAACTTTATATTTTAATCTTCATCATCATTCTTCTTCTTCTT